CTTCACATTCTCATTTTCCGTTGCGCACATGCTTCCATGCCACCAGAATCCCAAAAGTACGGTTGTCACCCTTATGTTTTGATTTCTTTCTTTTCCTATGTATATTATCGTTGAAAGAAGTGTGATATAATCAACATTAAAATTGATACTATAGGGTTTTCCCTGTTTATTTGGGGTGCCTGCTTTGGTACTTGACAACTATATGTTCACCAATTATAAGATATATTCTCCTTTCGCTTCAGGCCAGATTTTCAGCCTAGAATTAGTTACCCTTGCAAACATATGGGAGCCAGCAAGCAGAGAATCTTGTGGCAATAATATTTGGGAGATAATGAAAGCTTCTTTGGGGATTTTATTTGGCAAGTTACTCTCCAGGTATCTAGGAATTGATATCTCAAAACCCTTTCTTACCAGTAGGTTATGAATATAACTATTTATATTTTGAGTGTGTAGTATTTGCCATGTTCTGTGAAATATGGAACCATTGGGAGATGGTCTAGTGGAGGTGTGGAAGAGAGGACTCTGCCAGTGTAGAAAATGTTTATGGATTCTAAGCATAAATAGCCCTTCAGCAGAGTCGTAGTAACCAACGCAAACACTGTACAAAAGCTAGACAGTGTGGAAAACCGATTGAAAACTCTCCTTTTTATATTTTTGATAACATTAAAAGCAGATGAATCTACAATAATGCTGCACATTGCTGTGTAACATACCATGTCACCACAGGCTGGGTAGCACCACCATGATACAGAAATTTAAGTGCATCTTGCCATGTGAAGGAGAGTCAAGTCTGAATATTCTCCACGTGCCTGCAGAACAGTTGGAGTTACAATGTATTAGGCTACTTACAAAGAGGCTCGGGATCGAACAGTAAGCATGCTCCATCTTGTTGCTTACCTTTCCTGGTTCATACTCATACACAAACTCAAGGCCAAAGTTATAAATTACAGCGGCAATGTTCAGAACAGTGCATATATCAGGTGCCATCAGAACCGTGCCTTGCAATCCACATATCTGCACTGGAGAAACAAAATTAGCTTTCGCCTTTTCTGAAGAAAAAAAAAGGAACATGTATACCAAAGTAATGCAGATGTCAGAGGAAATTACCCGGTGGTCAGAAAGTTTGATGTGACAAGTTTCCGTTTCTCATAACTCAACAGCCTGCACACTGAATGAAGAGATTCTGATTCACTCCGCGTCATTCAAAGATTCTCTGCCTGGGTGGACAGAACTGTGACGGCTGAAGACTCATCCCCGATGCGCGCGGGGCCTCCACATTCATCCTCTCCGGCTGCCGCCGGTGCTCCTGTCCCCTCCCCTCCTTACGGCGAGAGGAAATCGTGGTTGCTGAATCCCCGCGCCAGAAGGGGGGCGGAGATGAGCGGGGATGCGCCAAGGGAGGAGAATGGCTGAGGTTCGTCACCGGCGGAGTGGAGCTGTGGTGGAGGGCGACGGCATGGATCTCGGTCCCTTTTTCCCCTTTCTTCGACGGAGAGAGAGAGTTGGGGGGCTGCTGGCGATGTTAGATGGGCTGGCCCAGCTCAGGGTCGTCCGGTGTGCGCGCGACCTTATTATTTTGCTCTGCTGCGTGCGATTTGAAGGTTTCCACTGGCGCATTGATGCCTTTTTTTTGTTGAGATTTTGAAAATAAAATGTTCAATTTTTTTTGACAAATATATGAATTAATTTTGAATTTTATGAACATTATTTAATTTGATGAACATGTTTTAAATCTGATGATTTTTTTTAATTCGATGAACACTTTTTCAAATCGATGACCAAAAAGTGTTCACGAATTTGAAAGGAAATTCGCAAAAAAGTGAAAAGTAAAGAAGAAAAAAATGAGAAAAGAAAAAGGAAAGGAAGGAAAAAACAAAAGACAAAAAACTAGGAAAAAACGGAAGACAAAAAGGAAAAGGAAAAGATTGTTTGGTCTGCGTGCTAGAGGCAGAAGATTGTTCGTTTCTGGACTTCCTTCGGTTGTTCAGACTCTCAAGAAAGCAAATAGTTCAGGTGTGAGTAAATACCCTCTCCAAACTACTACCTGAATACCATTGTATACACCATTGCATCGTGTCACACTCACAGCTCACAACCGCGCAATGCAGCTTGCAAGTTGAGACCACAAAATTAAACCAATGACGATACAACAAATTCCCACCCATCACATAGTTCATATTACTTACTATATACACAGATATATCTTGAAGCTAAGAGAGAATCGGCGATGATGACTTGATAGAAAGGCCAAAAGTATAGCTGTTTAGAATTTTGCAGAAGATGACGTAGAAAAAAAGGGAGGCAACAACTATTGTTATTGAGCGGGCTATGCGGTCCGGTAATTCTTGACAGCCACGAGGATATTCTCAGGGGTGAATGGCCCAGATTCATCGTCCATGATTTCGGGTCTTCCATTGCATGCCGTCAGTGATAGCTTGTATCTTCATTAACATCTCCACGGAGTCCCTGACATCACTGTCCCTTCAGGTCTCAAGATACGGTCCATCTCAAAGTGAATGTATGTTATGTCACATGAGCGACCATTCTCTAAAATTAGTTCAACATCATAATCAATCCATGGTTTAATATGATAACCCAAATACATCATGACAGAACTCAAATCATCTGTTATTTCCATTACCTATCCCGATAAAAGTTGAACACTTTATCAGCCTGGACGAGGGCAAGTGGTGGAATCAGTTTCTTGTAATAGTCCTATGGTATAGCTGTATCACCCAGGTTTCTATATAGCTACTTTTTCTATGTTTAAAAATTAAATGAACCATTCCAGACAAAGTACTACATAATCATGTACATCCTCTGAACAGTTTTATATTTCTTTACAGAGAGAGTACCTCCCACGAACTGAACTGAATGATGAATTAATACTGAACTTCACCTAAGGCACACCATCCACAGCCAGAATGGTTCAAATGTTCTATTATTTTCTTTTTCAAAGAATTAAATATTCATGCTAGTATTATTTTAAGTACGACCGTAGCACGGGGGCCTCCACTGGCAGGCGAGAACGGGCCTGTCATGAAAGGGTCAAGTTGTAGTATTGACTGTTCACGTTGCTCTTAATTTATTTACTTCCACCAACGAGCATCACGAATATGTTCAGTAATTCGTTAGCTGGGTTGACCCCAAAGCTCAAGGCACAAATCTCGGTGGGGGTGTACACTCTTTGTTGGGAAATCTGGAATTGCGGCGATGATTTTGTTTTTTCTGCCCTTAGTTCTTTTTTTTTCGGGTGATTTCTGCCCTTAGTTCAGTCCCGCTAATCTGTTTTTCTTGTATTGCGGATCAGTCCCACTAATCTGTTTTACCCCTAACTTTTGGCGTTTCTCAGTTTTGACCATTTTCCGTTAAATCGTCCCTGTAATGCTAAGCGCTTGGCAGCAGCCTGTGTAGCTTTATGTGTGTCTTGTACATCTGTAGAAAATCAATCTAGCTTTTAGTTGCTGTCAGATATTTTGGCTATGCCAGCAAATCAAAGTGTCTGAATAATCTACGTACAGCATTGCCATCTGAGAGATGAAACACAGCCATCCACAGATCGGTATGCACATTGCTCCAACACGAATGACTTGAACGCTAGCTGGAGCTGGCCGTAACTCTCATGTATCCTCTCCGTCAGGCACGCATGGAAGGTTCTGCAGACTCTCATACGGTCTGCATACGGTCTAGACTTTCATGGCCAAGGTTGATCAATTATTCTATTCTTTGACATGTATTCCGTTAACATATGGACAAAGGTGGCGTGGTTGTGCTCACGACTTCACGGTCGTTGTGCGCGAAAAAACATCATGGCGCTGTATCATTCTGCTTCATGAACACACTTACGTAATTTTAGACACTCCATTATATCTGAGTAATAAAGTAGCTAGAGTACTTAGTAAAATTATCAACTGGTAAGCCTATCTATGAAATCAATAAACTATGAGCAACATATACTGTGAGATGATTTTAACACACATTATTGCTTCCTGCCTATATAAGTACCCCCTCCGGTCCTTTTTAATTCGCATATAAGATTTGTCTGAAGTCAAATCTCGTAAAGTTTGACCAACTTTATAGAAAAAAATACGAACTTTCACAATGTGAAATCATTATCATTAGATGCGCCGTGACTTAAATTTTCATATTGTATAAATTTAGCATTGTAGGTGTTGATATTTTTTCAGATAAATATGGTCAAACTTTATAAAGTTTGACTTCAGACAATTCTAATATGCAGAGTAAAAAAGACCGGAGGAAGTACATTAGTATTAGTGTGATGAAGAAATGAAAAAAATAGGGTTACTTCTCCACCGCACAGGTTGTGCTTCTCCGGGAGCAGAAAATCGGGAAGGCTTGCGTATATCTTTTACAGTCATTATTTTAGCCTTCAATGATTCATAGTCTCGTTCAATCGCTTCATACGCTTGACCGAGGATCGGCTTTTACAAATTAGTACTCCCTCTTTTAGGTCACTAAAGTAATGATCTGAAAGGTCTTATATTTGTTTAGAGGGAGTACATGAGAGAGAGGGAGTATTATCTTAGTCTTGGATGCTTCAAAATCCTTGGTACAATTTATAGTTCTTCGCTCGCTTTTTTAAGCAACAAGAGCGACAGCACTGGTTCTACTGTCTGGTTTGGTCTACGTATACATCGAATGTTTGGAAGCTAGTACAACATTACTATGCCGTGTGAGACATGCAATGGAGCCATCCGCAAATCAGTATGCACATGCCTCCAACACGAATGACCTGACCCATAGCCTCCGACACGGATCACCTTGACCGACCCCTTAGCTGGCTCTGTCCGTAATTCTCCATCAAACACGGCAGGTTCTGCGGACTTCCAAGCCCACAGTTGTTCTCTTCTTTGACAAGTACTCCCACCCAACTATTCCACTAACATATCGACAGATGTGTGCTCAACTATTTAATGTGCTGCCATCACCTCTTAGAAATAAGAACCACAGCCAATTCCATCCAGCCTAGCTAGCTAGACATGGAGATGGATCCACCACCCAAAATGCTTGACTCTCTCACCATGACCATACTGATGATGATGATGACCACCTCCGTTGCACTTGCGTCGGATGCAGCGGTGCTCGAAGAACAAGCTAGAGCACTCCTCGTCTGGAAAGCAAGCCTCGACAACCAAAGCCAGCAGGCCCTGCGCTCCTGGGGAAACACGTCGACACCTTGCAACTGGCGCGGCATCAGTTGTGATATCGGTGTGCATCGACGACAACATTGGCCGGTGATCAGCGACATCTCTCTACGGGGTATGCAGCTGAGAGGAGCTCTGGAGTCCCTCAACTTCTCGGCCTTGAGGACCTTGGCACGCCTCGACCTCTCAAACAACCTCCTCGCTGGGAGCATTCCTCCTAGTATCGAGGTCCTTGGCGAGCTGCATGCTCTCCTTCTGCAAGGCAACCAGATAAGAGGCTCAATCCCACTAGGTCTAGGAAATCTCACAAAATTGCATTCCTTAATGCTTCACGAAAATGAACTCTCCGGTGAAATACCAAGCCAGATAGGCAACATGAGTAGTCTTGTCACCCTCAACTTGTCAATCAATCACTTGGTTGGTCATATCCCTTGTGAAATAGGACACATGAAGCACTTAGTTGCATTAGATTTGTCCAGTAATAATCTTTTCGGCAAAATACCAAGCAACATAGGTGGTTTGACCGAACTCACTACATTGTACCTTTACTATAACAAACTTTCTGGACAAATTCCACGAGAACTAGGTTATCTTCTAAACTTAAAGGACCTGCAACTTGGCATCAACACACTCTCAGGTTCCATTCCACAAAATTTACTTAATTTGACCAATCTCGCTGTGTTAATTCTACGGCGAAACAAACTTTCTGGGTTAATTCCACAAAAAATAGATTACCTTTCGAACTTACAGTACCTGAGTCTTGGTGAAAACACACTCTCAGGTTCCATTCCACAAAATTTACTTAATTTGACCAAGCTCACTGTGTTAATTCTACGGCAAAACAAACTTTCTGGGTTAATTCCACAAAAAATAGATTACCTTTCGAACTTACAATACCTGAGTCTTAGTGAAAACATACTCTCGGGTTCCACCCCAAATAGTATAAGAAATTTGACCAAACTCATAACCTTGTCCCTTGACAACAACCAACTTTCTGGGTTAATTCCACAAGAAATAGAGTACCTTGCGAACTTAGAGTACCTGGATCTTAGTGGAAACATATTCTCGGGTTCCATCCCAAATAGCATAGGAAATTTAACCAAACTCACAATCTTGTACCTTTACAACAACCAACTTTCTGGACACATCCCTCAAGAACTAGGTTATCTTGAGAACTTAGAGAATTTGTCGCTTGATAACAACACGCTAACTGGTTCCATCCCAAATAGCATAGGAAATTTGACAAAACGCACTATCTTAAATCTTTTCATGAACCAAATTTCTGGACACATCCCTCGAGAACTAGGTCGCCTTGTGAACTTATGGGATTTGGATCTTGTCCACAACACGCTAACTGGTTCCATCCCAAATAGCATAGGAAATTTGACAAAACTCGTTATCTTAAATCTTTTCATGAACCAAATTTCTGGACACATCCCTCGAGAACTAGGTCGCCTTGTGAACTTATGGGATTTGGATCTTGTCCACAACACACTAACTGGTTCCATCCCAAATAGCATAGGAAATTTGACCAAACTCACAAATTTGTACCTTGATAATAACCAACTTTCTAGCCAAATTCCACGAGAACTAGGTTATTTAGCCAACTTAGACTACTTGGGGCTTAGCTACAACACACTGACAGGCTCCATCCCGAACAACCTAGGCAATCTCACAAAAATCACTACCCTGTATATTGACAATAACCAACTTTCTGGCCACATTCCTCGAGAATTAGGTTATTTGGCCAACTTAGAGTGGTTGTCTCTTAGAAATAATTCACTAACAGGTCCTATCCCAAATAACCTTGGCAACCTTACAAAACTCAATACCTTGGACTTTGGCCAGAACCAACTTTCCGGGCCAATTCCATGAGGAATAGCTTGGTTGTTGAATATAGGGTACTTTTAGAGCATAGTAACAACACACTAACAGATTTAATCACAAACAGGCTGGACTATCCTGTAGAATTATCTTTGTTGAGAAATTTCACAAGATGGCCCCGTCCTCATCCACCCCTCCTGCTGCTCCTCTCCTCTCCCTCACGGGACCGGACCAAACCTCCTGCCGGACCCATCTCCTCCGCCTCCATGGTGCTGCTGCAAAAGATCCTCCTCCTCACGGCGGCCGACTCCTCCGCGCTCGTCCTCACCGCCGCCACGGCCCACGCCCTCGCCGCCGGGTAACTCGACGCCAGCGTGCTCACCAGCGACTAGGTCGCCGGCAGACCTCGCCCTCGCCGTCTTCGACTGCGGCGCGACCCCTCTCGCCTGCGCCACCGATGTCGTCGGTGCGCTCTCCGGCGCACTACTTCTGTCCTAAACTGGACTGGAGTCCCTACACACAGTACACGGTAAAGTGAAGAAAGGTACAGATAGTTCGGTAAATGGATTTCAGAAGCATCTCTTGAATAAATAGCCACTCAATTTTGTAATGCCTTTTTCTGTCTGAATGTTTATCATTACTGCTGCTAGGGAACACGTGGCTTTGGGAAAAGTATACAGGAGAGATAATAATAACCCATCAAAAGGAAGATACCGAGAATTCTACCAGTGTGACTTCGACATTGCTGGAGTCTACGAGCCAATGGAACCGAATTTCGAGGTTATCAAAATTCTGACAGAGTTGCTTTTTTTTAGCCGGGCATAACCCTTTTCCATTACTTTCATAACGGAAATACAAAGTTTGTTGCAACTAGAAGGAAACTGAAAGGGGAAATGCGAGCTCAGCGCATCACTGGGAAACCCACAATAGACAATCGTCATCGAGCAGCCTACCATGGGGCGAAAATCCAGTGACACCGACAGAACCAACATCACCAACCCGAAAGCAACCAAAGTTTAGGATCACACCAGCCACAGGAGGCTCGGACATAAGCTCGCGCAGGAGCCGTAAAGTTCCCTGAGTTTAAGCAGAAAGACACATCGGAAATACTAGCGATGCATATGGACGACTGAACGTAGCAAAAGACCTTTGGTGGGCTGAACCTCTGTGGGCCTCCGTGTCTGGATCAATCTTGTTCTGCATTCCCCGGCGCCGCACAAATACGCATCAGGGTCGACGCGCTGGTCTTCAGCATTTTGGCTCCACGCTCCATGGCCTCGCGATCAGCTCCATTCATCAGTCCTGCCCAGTAATTTAAATATCGGCAAGCTGAGTACACAACCTCAAAAGGAGACCTCATCTGTTTGTATTCAAATGTCAATTTGTTACGGCAGTTCCACAAGGCCCAGCACATAGCTGCCAGGCCAAAAGTATAGAATTTTTCTCCATCAGGTATGAACATATAGCATCAGGCAAAATATTGCCACATATTTTTTGGGCATCGATCCGTGCCCAGGACACACCCAACAGTTCTCCACATTACTTTAGCCACAGGACATGTGAAAAAAAGATGTTGTGAGGTCTCTCTTTCGTCGCAGAATGAGCATGTGGGGTTGCCCGCCCAATTTCTTCTGCTCATCACATCTCTAGTGAGAATGGCATCTTGAAAAAGTTGCCAGAGGAATATTTGGATTTTTAAGGGTATTTTGGATGCCCATATCCATTTGTAATCACACCCCCTCACGTTTTTTTTCTAGATATTCATAGACCGATTTGGTTGTGAATTTCTTCTTCTTCCCCAAAGCCCAGGTAATCTCATCTGGCGCATCTGACTGAGGCCAGGAGTTCACCACCGTCTCCAATTTTCTCCATTGCTCCACAAGGGGCGTGTGAAGTCTTCTTCTAAAAAAGTCTCCCTCAACCCCTTTTCTGAAGTCTGAAACTGTGATTTCTTGATAATTGCATATATTGTATAACATAGCGAATTTATCACGTAGAGGGGGCTCATTTCCCACAGGATCAACCCATAGTCTGGCCAGATTGCCTGAATTGAGGATCACTTTCCTCCCTACAAAGTTAATTCTCTTTAACTTTCATAATGGCTTTCCATATAGGGGAATCACCAAACTTACTTTTCACAGAGGCAACTGTGTCTTTTTTGAAGTACTTGGCCCATATAACCTCCTGCCACAACCCCTGTTGGTTCTCCAATTTCCACCACCACTTAGTGAGGAGGCTAACATTCTGTTTATGCAAATCTTTTACCCCCAGGCCCCCTTTACTTTTCGATCTGCAAATTCTGGACCACCTAACCAAATGGTACCGTTTTCGCCCTTCATTTTCTTGCCAAAAGAATCGCTTGCGGTGTTTGTCAAGTTTTACTATAATCGTCTTCGGAAGAAGAAACATAGCCATATAGTAATATATAATGCTTGTGAGCGAGGAGTTAAGCAGAATCAGCCTTCCTCCAGAGGAAGCCGCATTACCAATCCAGGCCTCACAGCATTTAAGGAATCGTTCATCCATGAAATCCCACTCAAGGACACGCAATGTAGAGAAGCTAACTGGCACTCCCAGATATTTCATAGGAAAATGTCCATTTTACAGTTAAACAGATCTGCATAAAACACTAGTGTGTCCTCATCCCCCCGACACACAGCACCTCACTTTTAAGGAAATTGATCTTTAATCCCGACATAAGTTCGAACACATATAATAGAAGTTTCAGGTTTATAGCAGCATCCTTATCATGCTCAAAACAAATGACCGTGTCATCTGCATATTGGAGTATAGCTACTCCCCCTTCAATTAGGTCAGGGGCAAGCCCAGTCAGGAGCTTTTCTTTTTGAGCATTACGTGTCATCTTCGAAAGGGTTTCAACAGCTTGATTGAAAAGAAACGGAGAGTGGGGGTCACCTTGACGAACTCCCTTATAGCTTTGGAAATAGGGTCCCACCTCATTGTTTAGTTTGATGCTCACAGTGCCGTTATGTAAGATTTTTTCAATCCATCCACACCAGGTTGTCCCAAATCCACGATTCCTATGGCACTCAAGGAGGAAGTCCCAATTTATCTTGTCGTAGGCTTTTTCAAAGTCCAACTTTAAGACCACCCCAACTTTTTTCTTGACATGAGCATGATGCAACACCTCATGAAGTGTAAGGATCCCATCCATAATGTTTCTATTCTTAATGATAGCGTTTTGATGTCGACTGATTAGCTTATCAGCATAAACAGCGACCCTGTTATCTAGCACCTTGGTGATGAGTTTATAGGGGCATCTGAGCAAGCATATGGGGCGGTATTGTTGGATTTTTTTGGCCCCATTCATCTTAGGAATCAAAGTGGTCACGCCATAGTTTAGGCGCGCAATGTCTAGAGTGTTGTCATGGAAAGCTTTGAAAAGTCGCATTATATCTCCCTTCACAAAATCCCAGCAGTGTTTGTAAAACTCAGCTGGGATGTTATCCGGTCCAGGGGCTCTATTACTCTTCATACTAAATAAAGCTCTTTTAACTTCCTCTTCCGTAAACTCACTCGTGAGTAGGGTGTTATCATCCCTAGTAAGCTTTTCCCCCTCATCCCAGGTATCAGGGGATAGATGGAATATGTTTCCTCTGGCCGGCCCAAATAACTCTTTATAATAAGAGGTAGCATGATTTAGGAGATCTTTTGTGCCCTCAATCACCACCTTCCCATCGGTTAGGGAATGTATGGTGTTTTTTTTCTCTTTTTACCATTCGCAACCCGATGATAAAAAGCCGTGTTTTGGTCTCCCTTTAGCAACCAACGTTCATTCGAGTGTTGAAGCCAAAATAGTTCCTCATCCGCAAGAATATCATTCAACTCAGCACATAGGTTGGTTCTTTTTTCATATAAATCAGGTGTTAGAGGCTCATTTTCTTCTAACTTCTCCATCCCCTCTAGTTCCTTTTTATCTCTTTTTTCCTCTTCCGGGCATGACCAAAAGAGTGAGAACCCCAACCTTTAAAATACTTCTTGATACGTTTCAGTTTAATGTTGAGGATATCGATTGGGTCGCTAGCGTTAATCGGCTGCTCCCAAATGTTTTTGGCTTTAGTATAGAACTCTTCATTTTTCAACCAGCTAAGTTCGAAGTGAAATTCACGATTATGGAGGGGACTGTTTTTTACAGGATTCGTGGATAGAAGCAGCGGGTTGTGATCAGACAAGGGGAAAGATGTCCTCCCAATCATAACTCATCAAAATCCTATCCAGCTTCTCTAACGTAGGATGCTTTTGACTGTTCGTCCATGTATATTTACCCCTCCCCCCCATATCTATTTCTCGCAAATTCAAGGAGTTGATAATATCATTGAACTTATCCACATAGCGAGAACGAGTCAGGTGTTTGTTCTTCTCACCACTTTCTCTCAGGATGTTGAAGTCACCTCCCACAATGTAGGGTAATCTAATCTGTGAGCAACACCCATTTAGTTCTTCAAGGAATTCTTCTTTATCATTCTCCCGCGGGGCTCCATACACCACTATGATGGCCCACGTGCACTTGTTTTTAATATCAAAAATGTTTGCTTGGATGAGGTATTTTCCCTTTATCCAGGAAACAACATCTAAGGTTTCTTTTTTAATGCCACAAAGGATACCACCTGATTTGCCAACAGAGGGTACCCAGTTCCAGTTAAATCTCTGAAAGGGGTCTATCTTTCTCAAATATTTGGGAGTAAAGTTAATTTTCTTTGTTTCTTGGAGACCAATGAAATCTAGGGAGTGATCTCTAATAATATCAGAAAAGCAGGTAGTCATCCCTTTTTTACCTGCCTCTCTGCAGTTCCAAAAAATGCCGTTCATTTTTTTCTTTTTGCCCTCTCCCCCCTTCTGGTAACTCTACTAGGAAGCTGAGTAGAGTTACCATTGTCATTATGTAAGGAAATCTCTTCTTTCCGACTTCTGGTTAAGGGTCTAGCAATGACCACATTAACCTTTCTTTCTTTTTTCTTCCTAGATCGAACAGTAGTAAATTTATCTTCATCAACATCATTTTCCTCCCCCAGTTCATATTTAAAGGAGTC